GGTCATCGGCTACTACGGCTTCAACGGATACCCGTCGGACCGTATCGCTGTCTTTGGCTGCGGCGGTGGCTACCTCGTGATCGCGTGGTTGTGGTCGATCGTGTGGCACTTCCCGCTCGACTTGATCAAGTTTGCGGTCAACTACGTCCTCAACGCCAACACGTACTCGTCGACGGCCTTTGACTCGCGCATCAACGCCGGCCACCCGTCCATGTCGCACGCGCGTGTGACGCAGCACGCCCGCTCGGTCCGCGCCTCGCGCACGGTTTAAGACTCTAATCTAGCTCAAGATACCTTAACTTTATGTCCCAACGCCACGGTTGTCTTCGTCCCTCTTTCGTTCTAATGACTCCCCATCTTTTGGGGGTTGAACAACAAGCACTACTATACCAGGGTATCACCAGAATTCGACGAGTCGACTGAGGGTTCCCACTTCAGCAACCTTGAGCCGTCGTCGTCGTGCGAGTAATAAAGTCTGATATCCTGCGGTCGGCATCAGTCCAACGCTGCAGTGGCACCTCCGCGGTTGTCAGTGGACGCTCTTTGAGAGGAGTTTTGGCTTGGGTGCACGCAGAAGAAGTATAACTGTAGCCCAACGCACTCGATGGTGTCGACAAGAAAAAATGTGTTGTCGGAAAACAAGCTGATACGTACACGCGAAGAACTATCGATGGACTGCTCGTGTGCGACGATAGAGTGCCAAGGTCCTTTGCCCCACGGACGCAGTGCTCGCAGAGTCGACTACGTACAGACCTTACATCGGCGGCGGCTCACTGTTCGAGTGCGACGGCAAGCGACGTGCTATGCAGTATCACCCCGTAGCCAGGGCTAATACCTCGATCGTGGTGATTTGGATATATCGTCGAGAAGCGGCCTCGATCGCAAGCCGATAGGTTCGGAGATGTTCTTTCCGAAGAGAGTTACGACGTGTGGGAGCCTCTGCAAATCTATGGACGCCCGTCGTCCTCTCTGCTGCATACGCATTCCTTCATGACTTCCTGTCAGGTGGCAATCTACCTTTCGTGATTTCGTCGCTCCGGATGGCGGCGCATGGACAGCCGTGCTCTTCGTTGCAGCGCTCCATCTTTGGGCGCACGCCGGTGTCGTCGTCTTCGTAGTCCACGTCGCCTGTGGCTCGCCGACGACACTATGTACACACGCTACTCGACTCAATTGCTGGGTGGACCGGTCCGGATACCCTTGGAGGGGTAGGGTATGTATTCCGAGAAGTTATAGTGTCTGGGAGGTCCCGGAAAGAGTGGGACGGCATTTGACTGGTGGTTGATTCGCATACAAATGGCAAGTGATTGCGTCGGGCGTAGTTATTGGCTGCGACACATTGGCATAAAAATACATGGTCGACTTGAATAAAAATACATACCTCGCCTCATCAAGGTGGCGTGAAAACGGAATAAAAATGCGTGGCGCGCGGCAATAAAAACGACGTCGGCAAAGCTTTGGCGTGGCGTAGTTTTCCATCGTCGGCCCCGATCTTTGCCCGAGATGGAGTTCGCCGAGTACGAGAAGATGCTATGGAGCCTCATGTCGCCCGACAACAGCGTGCGCAACGTGGCCGAGGCGACGTTCGAGGGCATGAAGGCCGACAGCGATGGCACGCTCCTGCATCTGCTGCAGGTAGACATGCTGCACGAGGATACATGCTGATCGATGGATGCTATTAGGTCATTCGGTCGCCGGCGAGCGACGACGTGCGTGGCCTCGCCGCCGTGCTGCTTCGCCGCGTTCTCTTGCGCGACGAAGTCTCGCTGTGGTGCAACGCGAGCGACTTGACGCAGCACAGCGTCAAGAACGACCTGCTCACGGTGCTCACACACGAGGCCAACCCGTCGATCCGGCGCAAGCTCTGCGATACCGTCGGCGAGCTCGCGTCGTCCATCCTCGAAGAAGGTAGCAGCAGCCTCGAGATCGTGTTGCATCATGATATTAATGCTAGGCGAATGGGACGAGCTCCTGCCGTGCATGTTTCACTGGATCACGTCGGCGAACGTCGCGCACCGCGAAAGTGCTTTGCGGGTGTTTGAGATGATCTCGCTCTTCATTGCGACGGCGATGAGCGACTACTTTGACACGACGATCCGGCAGCTCTTTGAGACGTGCCTCATTGACCCGGCCGGGCACGTGGCCCTCCACGCGCTCCGCGCGCTTGGCATGCTCCTCCTCAGCATTGACGAGCTCGACGAACGCGACCGGTTCCAGCCGCTCCTC